ATTAGAAACAAAATTAGAAATCTCATAAAAATCAATTAATGCACCCAAAAGTCTTGGCAAACTAAGAAAAAACACTTAAAAAGAGTAGATGTGAAAATATAAATAGATCAAGGCTCAAATTAATGAACTAGAAACAAAACAATATAAAGAAAAAGAAACAAAGATTTGGTTCATTAAAAACATTAATATGATTGGAAAACATTTAACCAAATTAACCAAAAGAGAGACATGATCCAAGTCAATAAACTCAGAGTTGAGAAGAGAAATATTACCACAAGGAAATTCAGAAAACCATATCGACATACTTTTAAATTTTGTATTCAAGTAAACTAGAAAATCTAAAATTTATAGATAAATTTCTAGATATGTATGGCCTACCAAAGTTAAATCAAATTGACATAAATAATTTAATCAGGCCCAGAATATCCTGACATAAAATGATGCAGTTAACAATTTCACAAATAAAATGAACCTAGGAAAAGAGAGATATGGCACAGAATTCTACCAAACATTCAAAGAAGAACTAATTCCAACACTTCACAAATTATTCCATAAAAAAGAAAGGGAAGCAACACTCCCAAATTCTCACTATGAAGCCTAGATTGCTCTAATTCCAAAATCAGACAAAGACCCAACCACAGAAACAAAATTATAGGTAAATCTCTCTGATGAACATAATCACGAAAATTCTCAATAAAATGATTGTAAACCACATACAAGAACATGAATATAGCTAAAGTATTATCCACCATGATCAAGGTGGTTTCATCCAAGAGATGCATGGTTCAACCAAACAATAGACTCATGACAGGAACCCCATGAACATCTCATTAGACACAGAAAAAGACTTTGACAAATCCAACATCTCTTTATGATCAAAGTCATGGAGAATCTAGGGATACAGGGGACATATTTCAATATAATAAAGGCAGTATACAACAAGTTCACAGCCAACATACAAAGGGAGAAAAACTTAAAGCATATCCATTACCATCAGGAACAAGACAAAGATGTCTCCTCTGTCCATTCCTGCTCAATGTAGGACTTGAAGTCTTAGGTAGAGCAAAAAGATAAATAAAGGAAATAAAGAAGATACAATTTGGAAAGCGATAATTCAAATATTTTTATGGGTGTATTTGATTCTACACATAAAAGACCCTAAAGACTCTGCCAGAAAAGTCCTAGGCTGATAAATTTATTCATCAAAGTAACAAGATATAAAATTGACACCTTCCAATCAGTAGGCTTCCTATACACAAACAACAAACATACAGAGAAAGAAATCAAAGAAAAGATCCAATTCATGATAGCCTCAAAATCTATAAAATATTTTGGAACAAATCTACCCAAGGAAGTGAAGGATTTGTATAATAAAAAATGAAGAAGATACAAGACTATGGAACCTCCCATGGTCATGGATTGGTAGAATTGTTATTGTGAAATGATCATTCTACCAAAAGCCATACACAAATTCAGTACAATACCCATTAAACTCCAACACAAGTCTTCGCAAGAATTAAAAAAATAATAAACCTAAAATTTCATACGGAAACACAAAGAACAGTGATAGCCAAAATAATTCTGAACAATAAAAAAGAACTGGAACTGTAGGAGCCACAAAAATCCCCGATCTCATTAGACTTATACACTAGATCTGATAGAGGGAAAAGTATGGAAATCACTGGAACCTACATGTACAAGAAAGGAAAGGAACAGTGGGTGATAAACACAGAGAGAAACAGAGATAGAAAGAAAGACAGGTGGAGGCAAGGAGGGAGGGAGGAAAGAAAGGAAAGAGGAAAGAAGGAACGACTGCTGCTCTTACAGAGGACCCCAGTTCATGGCACAGCACCCATATGGGGTCTAACGATCACCCATAACTCCAGTTTCAGTTAGTCTGGCACCCTCTTTTCACTTCTGTGGGCACTGCACAAAATGGGTGCACTTACATTCATGCAGGCAATACACTCAAATACAGAAAATAAAATTAAAAATAATATATATGTATTTAAAAACATATGCATTTAAAAGCCCATATTGAGGAGTTTTATGTATTTTCTGCCAGCAACAGGTGGCACATTTCCATTGTTTGATGATTTTTGTCCCCAGCAGTGTTTCCATTTCTCAAACATATGTCCGTAATACAAGAATCTTTATTTAGGACATGGTAAGAAATTTCATTTGTCTAGAGAAATGACAAGTTCTAGGCTCTATGAACTTTCCAGCCATGTATACTTGGCTATAATAACTGTGAGACCCATGAGTTCACTCCATTGAGAGAACTTTAAATCCAATTAAATAGGTGTTGATTACCCTTCACATGGGGCAGAATACACGAGACCTGGTGGGGTGGAGGTGTGGGAACTTGGATGGTGGAGGGGGTCTTAATTTGATCAAAAACTGTTGTATGAAATGCACAAAAGCTCAATAAAGATATTTTTAAAAATATGAACCATTTCCCCTAGCATGTAATGGTCATGTCTCTCTATACTTGTTACACCACAAAGAGCAGAGGAGCGTGGGGTACCCATTTTTTTCAGGGACACAATCCCTGCTATAGAAGGGACACGTGGACACCTTTGGAAAAAAAAGAATGAGAGAAAAAAGTGCCCAATAGGGCTTTCTAAATTCAAATAAAAATACAAACCTCCTTAGAATCAATGATCTCCCCAACTCTGGGAGCTCTTATCTGATGAATAAATCTATAATGCTTACCAATAAACTTTTATTTAGGTTGAGTCAGTTTCTTGGCTTTTAAATCTTTTACTGACAGTGAAAAAGAACTCACCTGTTAGCCAGTATCAATAAAAAAATGAAGACCAATCTTTTTAATAAATATACATATATGCATGAGCAACCTACCAGTGACCACAACCCCAAAAGACAGTGACTTTCCCTCCCACAGCAGCCAACACCTGCCAATAGTTCCTCACACAAGATTGAAGACATAGAACAGACATCTGTGTCAAAGCTGACTGAGCTTTTGCTTCTGTATGAGAAAAGTTAAAATCATTTAAAATTATGAAAAGCACATTATAAGAACTCACTAAACAGCTACAATAAAAATAAATTATAGTTTTAAATATGAGAAAGAAAAATACAATAACCATATAATATGTGATGATTTTCATGAAATACAATAATAATTTCTGAAATATGGGAACCTGGCTTGTGCTTACCTTTCAGGAACAGGACTGAGTCAGAGATGGAAATTTAGAATTTATCCAGGTAATGTATTTGATAAAGAATATTATGATGGACTTGAACCAGTGTCCAGCCTACAAAGAGGAGGATCAACTTAGGGGAAACATCTCATTCATGCTTCCAAGTGAAGCCAGACATGGTCAAACAGGACCTTTGACTTATCTTCACATAGATGGAACTGGTAAAAGAAAGGAGCCAGAGCTCCTTCCAAGCCCATATGACCCCTGAGGAACATATCCACAAATGACCTTAAGTGTAAAAATAAATTGATTTATTTGGGCCAACTGTATGGTCTTAAACACCCAAAAGGAAAGTATAACCAAAGAGTAGTCATCAGTATATTTCTTTAAGAGTTCAAGGGGTCACACATCCCAGACATTAAGCTTAAGTCTATATAAAAAGTTATTTAGACAATTATTTCTCATTGATGATTTTGTTCCTAACCAGAAAGTGCTGCTCAGATGTAAGAC